CTCCCTTTGAGCTGAAATTGGTGGCGGCTGTATGCCACACCGAGGACTGCTGGAGTTAAGATATGCATGAGCTGAATTAGGTGCTAGGATGTCGCTGCTACGTCGTGAATCTTCGGCATAACGATTATTTGTTTGCAGTATGGTCAGACCCCACCATCGCATAACTCCAAACATCTTACCTTTAACTAAGGCTGAGGCTATGGGGCCTCAGTTATCAACGCGAGGATGGCGCACGACTTAAACACCAGCAACTTGCTGATATAGATGTTACAGCCTATATCGGCAATCGCAAACGAAAACCTGAAAAAAAAACAGCACCCAAACCCATCAGAACCGAACCACCAGAAGTAGTCAGCACGCCACGATTCGTCAGAAATGAAGTAGTGGTGCCGTAAAAGTAGCACGAAATGGCTACCAAATTTACGTCATCTTACGCAAATGTGAGGGTGTATTTGTATTTGTTTACAGTCTGACCGGAACCTATCATACAAACCCAGAGCAATGTCCTGCACGACTGCCATGCAAAAAAGCCATGAACAATTCCATTTGAGAGCCAGCACGTTTTATCCACGTCTGTTACGCGGATCACGAACCCACGTATTAGGACTATTGCTTTCTGTTTTTGGTTTGTTTCTTTGTTAAAGTATCGAGCGTCATTTCCCATGCTTACCGGCCAATACTGTTTCCTTGTTACGCTCCTGGGCGTCATTTCCCACACTGGCCACCATTATATCACGCGGGATTTCAACCATGTCAAAATATTATCGCCTGCATTGTTTGTTTCTGGGCTTTCTTAGCCGCTCTTGCCTTAACACTAACTCTTGGCGACATCTCTCATGTTATCCACCAATAAGTTGCGCGGGTGTTCTCCATATCTTCGTTCCCTCCAATTTGATTTGTGCCGTCCTCGTAACTAAGAGCAGGGGCTCATCATGCCTCCGCAATATAATTATGGCCATCCGGCGGATTCCTCGCCGGCACAAAACAGCAAGCACGAACTCCCACAGCTCAACTTGCATAACAGCAGAAAGCGCCGCGATTTAGACGAAGTTCCTGCACGGTTTTGGAAATAACGTGCTCGCACATGACATTGTGTAATACATTAAGTTTCGAGCACGCTTCAGATACTAATTAGTGATAAAATAGGGACGCGTCTTCGGATTCACATTGCTTATAAATATGCAATTTAGTTGTTTAGGCTAGCTGTGCGTGGGGAAAGACGGGCAGTGTTTGACTCTCTCTTTGTCTCCCATATTGATCCTGTAATTGGGGTTTTGGGACGCGCTCACCTGCTCAGCCTATATGGCATCGCCTGTCTATCAGGCGAACCACGCTATGATATGATCATTATATCATATCATATCATGTCATAGCACGAATGGTGGCCACTACAAGCCAACAATAGTCTGGGGATAGTGACTGCGCTTTCCAATAATCAACCTCACAGATTACATGCTCCATGGGAGTAATCTGTCCGACGACAATCATCATATTTGTTTAAATTAGTTATGCGTGTCACGGTTAATGGCGGATGTTCGCTGACTGCATTTATTCGTAGGTGATTATCATCGAGGTAGTTCCCTGTGAAAAACTGATTTTCTCGGAGTGACTGCATGTTGTGGCGAAAACATTGGCTCACCAAGAAAAAATGGGGTTTTATGGAACAGGACACCTCCGTCCTAGCATGTTTACCGATCATATTAACGGTAGGCCTATAGTGATTTTCGCTACGCACTACCTGCAAGGTATGTGTAACGATCAGACGACCTTAATTATGGGCAATAGCCATACACCATGTATAACCAGGGAACTTGTCGCCAATAAATAGCAGTCACATGGTGTATGGCTCACCAAGGTATCAACACATATTGCCCCACCCCTATCATCACTGGACTGTGCCGGAGTCGCTCACCGGCTTGCCGGAATTTCTCATTGGCCCATATGAGGCGACCCTCGCCTTCCGAAGTCGTTGGAATGCTTCTTACAACAGTACTCTCTCGTGGCCTAACTCACTGCCGGTGCTAAGGGTCAGTTACTCATGGCGATCTTAGTGAGCCCCGATCTATGGCTGCAAGCCAATCCACCAATGGAAGGTTGAAACCAACGCTTCCGACAGCCCGACGCCCTTTTACGACCTCCACCTTCTGGGAGTCGCAAGAGGGCAGCTGAAAGGCGAATCTCACGTTCTGCGAGCCACAAATCCATTAGCGGTACCCTACACGTGCTTCTGCCACTCTCTCTAGCAGCTAGCGATGTGCAAAAATGCATCCCACCTCACATGTGAGCCGCGGAGAGATTGACCAACAGCCAACTCCCAAATTTATGAAGGAAGTGGGAAGTTTCAACCTACGGGTATGACAACGGCCCACGTACCGCGCATTATTTTCTCCTTCGCTACCCGCGTGGAACCCATGCCTACGTAATACGTAGGCCTACCTCCGTCGCTCCCCGCAAGGAGTTATTCTGTAAAGCATCTGTGACGCCTTCAACCCGTCGTGGTAAGAACATTCGATTGCACTCGGGGAAAAATCCCTGTCGCCCCAAGCTACACACGATAAGTGAAACTATACGAGATAGAGATATTGAGGGGCAAACAATGACCCGACAACGGCGCGTCATATCTTACGTTGTTTGTTCCGCTCCGAAGGACCCTCGAATGCGCCGTGACAATCCATGGTTTATAAGCGCCATACCGATATGCACAGCCAAAGCACTGCAGGTCAATGATATGGTTAATACGTCGTACCAAAGCCCAAGGCACAGAGCGCACCACAGCTGACGTCGGGCACGTGCATCGATCGTTCCAAAATACTAATTAGATCAATATGAAGTGACATTTTCCCTTGTGCATATAAGAGCCTTGCAAAATTGACAGTCTTGCTCTTCGTTAGACTGTTAACGCGCGGGTAATAATGATTGTTATGCTGTATCAGTGCCTCATAGTTTGGTAGTAATACCAATAAAATTGGTAATAATATCAACCTGCTTTTTTACTCGAGAGCTTGCTTTATGGTGTAGTGTCTGGCGATCATTTCAAATTTGTTAATGATAGAGACCACAACAGACATGTTCCAAGGACTTTTTCTGGGTAAGAGTAGGTCACTGGGAGCGACAGCGGTGGATGAGCACAACCATACATATAGCTCCTTTTTAGTCGTTCTGAAAGTGAACAGAAAATTGACAGACAAGTGAAATGTGGGCACCGAGTCCAAACGCTGCTAGGTAATTGATAGCATATTAGCCCTTTTCCACAATGACCGGAGTGGTGTTGTGTTATCATGTAGTAAACTCGTCCCAAATCGTTATTGGAGACCATTGGCGCTGTTGTTTTCAACAAGATCGTGTTCAATGTGTACAAATTAACACCGTTATGTAAACGGGGCCTTTACACCGTCCGTTACACTGTTGTGTGTGTGTGTGTGTTGGGTGTGTGTGTGTGTGTGTGTTGTGTGTGGGTGTGTGTGTTTGTGTGTGTGTGTGTGTGGGTGTGTGGGTGTTGTGTGTGTGTGTGTGTGTGTGTGTGGTGTGTGTGGTGTGTGTGTGTGTGTGTGTGGTTGTGCGTGTGTGTGTGTGGTGTGTGTGTGTGTGTGTGTGTGGTGTGTGTGTGTGTGTGTGTGTGTGTGTGTGTGTGTGTGTGTGTGTGTGCGTGTGTGTGTGTGTGTGTGTGTGCGTTGTGTGTTGTGTGTGTGTGTGTGTGTGTGTGTGTGCGTGTGTGTGTGTGTGTTGTGTGTGTGTGTGTGTGTGTGCGTGTGTGTGTTTGTGTGTGCCCAGGCTGTCTGTGTTCATATTAGAGAGACAGAGGTTTAGGCTATGAC